AATATGTAATGATTGAAAATTGCACAAAATATTCTTACGTGTGAGTATATGCATGTACGTATGTAGGCATGTGCATTGATACATATCTACAGACAAACATACACACACATAGACAATATATCTGCATAGATATTGTGGTATCCAAAAGGAGCTCTTGGGTGGTGTTGAAAAGAAGTGCAAGAATATACATATCTATATATATATATTTATATATATCATTGGGATAATTGAGTAGAAGATCATAGCTAGCTAGTGGAAGTGGACATGCTTAGTTCTTAATCTCAAAAAGTAAGAATGAGTCATTATATATCCTTCCCATAATGGTTCTTGGATTGGCATTTTTGATGGTGAGAAATGGGGATAAAAGATTGGGAAAAAGCATACGGCCAAAGTAGGCATCTTATCTTAATCTTATTAATACATTTATTACTACAAGTCATGACACCTTTCATTTGAAGGAGTCTACTTGTCTATTTTAGCATCAACACTTTCGGAAAGCCAACACTCTTTACTCTCAAGTGAAGTTTCTGTGGGCACGCCAACAGAAACTACTTCACTTCTAGATATATGTATAATATACATGTACAAATACGTATGTGATTATTTCATTTTAAATCATGGATATTTTCTTTTGAAGTTTCACTTTGGCGAAACCCAACTTAAATCCGAATATTCCTGTTCCTTCAAGGTTATTTAGGTCCCGTTCATTTCGCTGATTCGAGTTTAGAATTCGAGTTGAGATGTGATTTTATGTGAGAGCTTTTTACTGTAGTAAAAAAGTTAGATGTGATTGTTTGTGAGAGCTTTTTACTGTAGAAAAACTCGAATTCTAAATTCGAATCAGCAAAGTGAACGGAGCCTTAGTCTTTAACCCCACGCCTTTTTGAATTTAATTCCACATCAAATCAATATGGCCATGCCTTCTCTTAAGGCAGCCACAAGTTTTTGACACTTTATGACGATTTTACCCTTTACAGACTACACCCAATTGTTCACTCTATACCTTACAACTAGTGAACGCGTCACTTGAGTGGTCAAAAATTAGCATTTGACGGAGAGAATGTATAAAAGTACTTGATATGAAATCTAAGAATATAATGTTGAGAAGAACATCTGAAATACATGGTATATGTTTTTTAATAGGCTTAAAATTTAGAGTACATTAATCCTTATTGTAAATTTGTTATTTTCTTTTCATTTGCTTTCCTTATTAGCAGCTAGTATATTTACATGACAACCATTTTGTTAGACAATCACTTCTCACTAAAGCTGCAAAAGTTGTACATATTTAATCATTAATGCTTCTTAACTTATAAAACAATCTTTAATTAATTCACTTGACATCCAATTCAATTTTTTTTTTTTTTTTTTTTTTTTTTTTTTTTTTTTTTGTTGTTTAACAAGAAGGCTCCTCTCAAACAGTGACTGTGTGACCGGATATTACTTGGACAGAGTAAATGCTAATTGTCAGAAGTTGTTAATGAATAATAATCAAACCACACATAAAAAATTTGAAAAGAAAACTATATTAATGATACGGTAGGCTCAAATTATGTATTTACATGTTTAAAAAAGAATATTAATTTGATAAGGTATACTATAAAAATCTTTTGCAACTAATCACTTTGTTAATGACATCTCCCACATAAAAAAATAATTAGGAATCTACATTTTTACAAACAAGTTACAGCTAAACATGGTACCAAAATGCAGGCAAAAAAGGGCAGGATTTTGTTGCAGCTAAAAGTGGATTAGTAGTTTCTAATAAGACATTTTTGCGTCACAGTTTGATCGCTGAATTACTAATTAAGCCGGCTAGATCTTGATCATCAAAGGCCGGCATCGTCACGATCCGTTTGCCAATGCTACCTAATCTGTGACATTGTTAAACTAAGCATAGACTAACATCCAAATCTTCTTGTCTTATAATAACAAAGCATCAACCAATCAAGACAGGTTGTACTAATTAATTTATTTAGTCTTTATCGTGGGATTAATAGTGATTCCTTAACTAATTAAGAAGATACCAAGCATAATTAATTATCAAGCTCTAGGCCGCTCTAGTAGTAGTCCTGTATAAACTTCAACATTAGAACCTCTCTTTCTTGGAACTAGCTAGTTAATAAAATTATCTTATATAAAGTTAAAACAATACAGAGAGAGAGAGAGCTTTAAAATAAAATATTTGAAAGGAAAAATGAAACTTTTAGAAATCAGTTTGACATGTACAAGCAATTTAAATGCCTCCAAGTGGCTTAATGTGATTAAGACATTATTGACACCAAAAACATTCACCAAAAGGCCTATTTGGTGCAACAGTTAGAACTGCTTTAATTGTTTCTTACTTCATGTAGTTTCCGGATTTATAACTAATTGCATATTTTTCACTTTTGTACCAAATTTCCAAAGGCTACTACTTAGATTTAGGTAAAATTCTTCTATATATGGGATTACAACTTGTAGTTTTAGTTGGGTCAAGAAAACCTTCATTATGCACAGAAGTTAAACCAAAAAAAAAAAAAAAACCCCCCACAAAAAATTCTCTTAAAAAAGAAAAAACATTGAATAGAATAAGTTTGGCTGCCAGATATGCTAGTAAGAGGTTACTGGCCTTCCCAATTGACTTTCCAAAGGCAAATTAAAATTTTAATATACATGTGAACGAGTTTTTAATGGTTATATTTCACATGTAATCACCTTTTAATATAGAAATTTGATGACATAGCGTGATAAAAATTTAATTTAATTAATTGTTATTAATTTTTTTAGACAACTATTCAATTTATTACAACTATCAGATTAATATCTTGTGATTAAAATAATAATACTTATTGATGAGTAAATATTAAAGTAACTACTAAAATTACAATATATATATATATATATATATATAACCCATAAGAGATGGATTTCGCGCTCTTGTTCTTCACGCATTTATATATGAATATACATATGCATATACATATACATATACATATATATTGTGTGGATATGACCATATATATATACATATAATATAGTTGGACCAATATGGCTTTTGGAGAAAAGATGCATGATTTAAATATTACCAGGATATTAGTGAACTACAGAGACAATCCAAGAGTCATAGTATGTAATGGTAAGCACTAAGAAAGCAAAAGAAAGATGCCAAAGACTTGGTTGCACTATAATACTTATGAAGAGCTTCCAGCACACCTCATGGAACTAACTACTCATTAGCTCCAAAAATTGGCTCACAGGTGGTTGATACCAAATTCATCACCAACCAATCACAGCATATCAATGTTGGTTTTTTTTTACCTAATTTACTAAATTGCCCTTGGACTTGCATCCAAATGACCTTATTGATAAGTACAATGTTGGAATAATGTGGAGCTATTTTGTGGAGTATGCCATGCTTTGGTTGAAACTAAAGGAACTGGATAGAGGGTGTAAAAGTAGAGGGACCCACCATGAAATATCTTTTCCAAATTGCAAAATATGTGGCAGGATATAAAAACAAAAATACTATACCAATAATAGAATTTTTGGACTCTTGAGTTTTTGTGAACTTTCATAAAACTTTGCTAAATTTTTATGTGATTTCACATTGGCGTATGTATTACACTCCCTATTTTATAACTTGTAATTAGGAGATTTTTAAGATTGTATCTTTCAGTTTTAAATTTATGAATTTATACACTTTTTTTAGTCAATATCCGGTTTATTTTTAAATTGACTAATTTACCTTTGTAACTAATAAATGACTTGTAATTAAATATAAAGCGACGAATTTACCTTTCGTAGACTAACAATTTATGCGATTTTTTGTTTTTGTTTTTAGGAGAATGCCTAATTCTGGTTTGCTTATAGGTTTATCTAGCAAAAAAAAAATGGTAAATTTATTAATTTAGAATTCACCTCAGATCTTTAACAGAAAAATTGTAAAAAAAAAAAAAAAAAAAAAAAAAAAATTCCTAATATGGATTATTCCAAAGCACAATCCTAAATTTACGGCATATTTTTCTTTTGATAAACTCAAATATAAAATAGCAAATAACCCTTTCATATTTGTGCATTTTTCTTCCTGATAAAAAATGTAAATAATGAGAAAAAATAAAACGCCAAAATCTAAAAGACTAACGGCCGGAGAGTGGAACTTTTCACTAGGTTGAGAGTGGGGCAATTCCTTAATACCAAGACAAAGGAAGGAATTGTTCAAGCAGAGGCAGTTAGTTTAAGTAGGTTCTCTCTTCTTTCACTCTCAGCCATTGGGATGCTCACCTGGACAACTCTCAACCGTTGGATTAAGGATGGCGTTGGATCCTCAGTTGAGTACACGTGCTGCTCTCTCTTTCTCTCTCTCTATCTTTCTCTTTTATCTTTACTTCCATGCATGGATTTCTCCTCCAAATGCAAATATAGTCAAGTCCTCAAACTTCAAAGGGAGAAAAGTAGTGAGAGAGAGAGAGAGAGAAGAGAAGAGAAAAACAAACGCTTGCTCTTCTTACTCACTTTTATCAATTCTCTCTCTTTCTTTTGGCCTTTGTTTTGTTCATCATTACTAGTAACCAAAGGTAAAAATACACAACTCTCTCACTCTCAATACTTCGTTTGAATCACTAACTAGTACAATATAATTCTTATAGTTGAATGAGAAAAATACTTGCTTTTTTTTCTGTATCAGATCTTTTTCGTGTTTGATGACAATTATTCCATGAAATCTGAGATTGGTTTTTGTTTTTGTTTTTTTTTGTTTTAGTTCATAATTCATAGAGCAAAGGATAGCCGTGTGATGATGATGATCTGATCCGATGATGCGATTTTCTCTCCAAGTTTGAGCTTTCACCTTGATTTCTCATCTGGGGTCCTCTATTTCATTGCTAATTCTACTGTAATGAGATCAAGAATTCAAATCACTTTAAGTCTTTAACCAAAATTCTCTCAACAGATTTTGGAATTCTTCTTCTGATCTGTTTTCTTTCTTTTATTCAATTCTTTTCCGAAAATTCCGAATCGAAAAAAAAAAATGGAAGAAGTTCAAGAGTTGAAACATGCCTGCAAGTTCTGCAGCAAGAGCTTCCCTTGTGGTAGATCCTTGGGAGGCCACATGAGGTCTCACTTGACCAACAACAATTCAACTGAAAAAACTGATCATGAAAAGCTCAACATCAACAGAATTATTAGTTTCACTACTACTAATACCAATGGTGGAAGCAAATTCAACACTGAAACATCATCATCATGCTTTGTCTATGGCTATGGCCTTAGAGAGAACCCCAAGAAGACTTCGAGATTTTCGGACAACATTTCGAGTGATCAAGAGAACTCAAATCTGTTTTGCTGCAAAGAATGCGGCAAAGGATTTCAGTCATGGAAAGCTCTCTTTGGTCACATGAAAAGCCACTCTGACAAAGAGAAAGTTTCCTTGTTGGAGGAAGAACAAGATTCATCAATGAATAGTGCTAATTTGAAGCTGGTCATGGACAGTCAATCCGACAACGAAACCGCGGCTCCGAGTAATAGTAGGAAGAAAAGGAGGAGATCCCAGAGAAGAACAAGGTACAATATTATTAACAATGTCAATGCTTCTTCTTCTGCTGCTTCTGAGATTGAGCAAGAACAAGAGGAAGTTGCCATGTGTTTGATGATGCTCTCAAGGGATTTCGGTGGTTCGAAATCTGTTGCTGAGTCTTCTGATAACTTCTCTGAACTCTCCAAATCTCCCCCTTCTACTAAAACCAGTAGGATTATGTCTGGTGGTAACAAGACTTGTTCCGAGTTTTCGAGGACAAAGAAACTTCGGAATGGGAATTCATGGTCTAAAATGAGCAGAACTGAAGTTTCCAGTGATGGGTTTTTGGGGAAAGACAAGAAGATCTTAGTCAAGGAAGAGAAATTTGTTGAGAAGTTGAAATCAAGCACGAGAAAGCTTCCTTATGATGATAATGGTGATGATGATGAGGCTTATTATGATCCTGAATTGAGGGCAGATTCATTGAAGATTTCAGATCCTGATATGCCAAAGAGTTCTCAAAAGAGAAGCAGATTTGAATGCTTAACTTGCAACAAAACATTTCACTCCTACCAAGCTCTTGGAGGCCACAGGGCAAGCCACAAAAAGAACAAAGGTTGCTTTGCTTCCTCAACAATTGAGAGCAGTGAAAACAGCATTGAAACTGAAGGTGGTGATGAAAACAACAAGCCCAAAAATCATCATTTCACCAATATTGAGAGCCTTATTAATGATGGTGAAGATCATCAGTCAAAAGCTGAGATAAAGAAGAGTAAAGGTCATGAATGCCCAATTTGTCTCAAGGTTTTCCCCTCAGGCCAAGCCTTGGGTGGTCACAAGAGATCCCACTTGGTTGGTGGTGGTGGTGCTTCTGATGCTAAAACCGCCACCCGAGCAGCCGTCCCCACTGTCGTGCCCAAAAAGTCGGTCCCCAAAATCCGGGACTTCCTTGATCTCAACCTTCCTGCTCCTGATGAAGAAGATAACAGCAATGGGCATGTTAATGGGCTGGAAGCAGCCACAAACATGAGGCTCTTGTGGGTCTGATCTCTAACTGAATTCTTTTTTGTCCTTTTTGTCAAATGCCATGGATTTCAATAAGGGGGAAAAAGGCTTAAAAAGAGTGTACAGACATATATATATATCTCTGGATATTATTTCATTGATTCTTTTACAGATTCAAGAACTTGCCGCGGTGCTGCTTCTCATAGCCTTCAAGTTGGCCTTGTCAAATTTCATCTTAAGGTGTCTTTTAGATTTTTTTTTTTTTTTTTCACTTTTAACATTTTCAATTTTTGTTGTGGTTTATACTTGTAAACATCAAGTTAAAATAGTTTGTAAGAGAACTTCATATTCTTTATCTCAAATTGTACTTTTTTGCTATACAGTAAAGTGATCTGTTTTTGGAAGGTAATTATTTTTTCTTGGCATCAAAGACAAATGAGCAAGGTGTTGAAAATTGGGATTTGTGTGTGAAGTGTTGAGGATATAAAAAGCAATTTTATAAGGGAGATTCTAGGGTTGGGACATCCTACTGTAAGGTTTCATAGGGTTGTTGATTGCAACCGCGAGATTTAAATTAGACAGTACATATTGTACGGGATTAGATATTACACAAAGATGTTTTGAGCAATACAATTATACTTATTTTATATGTATCGTCTGATTTAAATCGTACGGTTGAGGTCAATGATTTTATCGATGGGTGATTGCTCCAATTCAAAAATCCCCCACCCTCATTTTTTTTTTCATAGTTAAAATCTCCTACCTTCAAACATTATAGCACAAAAGGTTTGAACTAAAATGTTTTGCTTTTAACTTATGAAACAAACAAAAGTTTAAATTAGGTAAATATTTTGCATGTAGTTGGATTGGATACAACGCAAGGACGTTTTAAGCAACACCACTGTTGTCTGATTCAAATAGATCCCTACCGTAGAATTTCCCATTTTTATAATGCACTACAAAGAGAGCATGTGAGCTCAAGGTGGTTGTTTAGTCACCTACCATTAAACATGACAACCTATCTATATATCTTATAACCCCTTTCTCATACTTAGTATTCAAGTGGGTGCTAACATGTCTTTTTGCTGAATGCAATGCAAAGTATGAGAATCATAATTGATATACTTTGTAAAGAGAGAAATGGACCACAAGAAACTTTCTTTGCCCATCTCAGATTAGCTCTCAAAATTGGAGGTTCAAGTGGATCATCTATGACAACAATTTGGCTTTTGGAACTTTTTCTACTATAGCCTTACCTCTTTAGTTAGCTCATCATTTTATTCTTCTTTTTTTGAGATAATATTATCGTGAAGTGGTGAAAGGTAAAGGTTAGAATGACAATTAAGGTTAAACCTACATGACGTTAAAATTTTTACACATTGTCAGGGTCCGGTAGCTTTGGAGGGTCGACGTATCGGGAGACACGCGTAAGCACGTGGTTTGTCAGAAGCAGATCTGACGTGGCTAAACTTCTATGTGGATGATGATGGTGGGACCTCCGATGAAGAAGTGGGGTCGGTTAGGCCTAAATTAGGCCGAAGAACGCGTGTCCTAAGACCCTATTTGTCGCCGAAATGATGAAAATACCCTGCAAAATATATTAGAGAATCCGCAAACACAAATGAATGAACTCTGGAGATGAAGAATGGTGGGAGGTGCGACCAAGTAGTTGATCGATATAGAGAAAACGAGGCCGAAGGTGCCTTCATAGATCAGTGCCCTAGAGACAAGCGCAGGCTGCTCCAGAAGTGAAGATGGTGACTCAACTGGTCGATAAGGCTTGTTGGAGTGTGAGAGTGAAGTTGGTGAGGTGGATAAGGCTCTGGTGAAGGGAACTCCAAGAGCAGCGTGTGTTGCTTTGGATGTGAGAACGACGCTCAGAGCACTTGCTCCGACGGTGAGCGGAAGTGACCCTGAAAATGAAGACTTAAAAGTTACCGGAAAATATGTGAAGAAACTTCGAAGAACTTTGTGATGGTGGTGGAACTGGATCAAAAAGTGTTTTGGGAGAGTTTCCAAAGTTGTCAACACTTGGAAGCTTTGAAGGACTTTGAAGAACTTGAAGAACTTCAAATCTCCGTAACAAGAGACTAAAGAAGTCTAGAGAGAGTGATCTGAAAAAAAATAAGAGAGCTTGTGGAAGATGATAGGAGTCAACCAGGGGGGGGGGGGGGGGGGGGGGCA